TATTGGAACCTGGGAACAAAGACCAAGCCCGTAAGAGGCGGCTCATTACCGTCTTACTGACCTGAGATTTACTGGAACAGCAATGACGTGTTATTTGAATGGGAGCACATCATCTTTCCGTAGCCTTCGCCTCTTAGGAGCGCCCCGTGCCCCCTGCCAGCCGGAGACACTGAAGGAAGCTGGGGATGACTGAGACGTGGAGAACTGACTGTAGGTGCCGCCAGCAATGGTTGGTAGTGGGAAACAGGCTGCCCGAGGTGGGACGGGATTGTTCTCTCCACCTGGCCAACCACAAGCTCCTGTTGGGGCCCGGGGAGCCGGCAGCACCAGACCCTACGGGGAAGGCGGAGGTGCCTGGGCCCTTCACCGAACCTCTGGAGGCCGACGGGTCCACGCTGCTCCTGTCCCCAGATCCGCTGGCTCCGTGTCCTTGTGGTCTGTGAGTAGAGATAGGACTCAGTTCCTTGGACACCCTCCTGCTTTCTCTCCCTGCCCCCCACAGCACCCTGTTTCATCAGTGAGACACGTGTACACTTGTCCCTCAAAACCCCCCACAGGGCAGCCGAGCTCCCCGCGGCAGTGGCAGGGGGACATTGGAGCAAGCGTTTAGGGCCTGGCCCCCACCCTGTTTGTCCGTGTCTGTCAAGCCAGGCCTGTGCCCCTCACGGGTGCTCAGCAGGTGATGGTAACGTGGATCAGTGGATCGGAATGGCGGTGAGCGCTAGATGGGGTGGGGGTGGAGACAGAGCCATGCTGACGGGCAACACATGAGTGCATTAGTCTGATTGGAAGCTGTAGGGGGGCAGGGAGAGCAGGCTGGTGGCAGGTTGAGTGGCGAGACTGAGGGCAGGGTCCTCCGGCCCAGCGCTGTCCTGCAGAACCTCATGGTGAGGATGAAAATGTATTTCTGTCCTGTCCCACGCAGTAGCCGCCGGCCACGTGAGGCAACGGAGTACCTGCAATGGGGTCAGTGTGGCCTCAGCGCTGGTTTTCATTTTATTTAATTGTAATCAGTTTGCATTTAAATAGCCACCGGCAGCTGGCGGCTAGCGTGTTCGATCGTGCGGGACTAGAGGAAAATCGTGCCGGGCTGCAGAACGTGGTGCGAGGGCTGCACTCGTGATAACCGCAGCTGCGTTCATCGAGCGGCTCTTACGTTGATCCTCAAAGCAACTCAAGGGTGTAAGTGTTATCCCACTTCGCAGACGAGAACGTCTGAGGTTTAGAGAGGCTTTGGGTAGCTTGCCCCGGGGCCCACCCAGGTCTGCCGCCCCCTAAACCTGTGCACGGTGCCGTGCGGCTTCGGAAGGAGCTGAGAGCCACGTTTCAGGAACCGGACTTGGTTCTAGTGCAGGACGGCGTGAGGTGCAGACTCAGGAGTTCGGAGGGCTCGAGACGGCTCCGGGGCTGGGAGAGACGATGATGCTCCCGTTTCTGGGGCTCCCGAGTACAAAAGCAGAGAGAGGATCCCAGTCCTGGTCGGGGGCTGCTGTGGACTGAATGTTTGTATCCCCCCAAGATACCTATGTTGAAGCCCTTACTCTGATGTGGTATTTGGAGATGGGGACTTTGGGAGGTGAGTAGAGGAGGTCCTGAGGGTGGGTCCCTGTGATGGGACTGGCGTCCTTATCGGAGGAGGAGGAGGCCAGACCTCAGTCTCCACCATGGGAGGGCACAGCAAGAAGCTGCCATGCGTACGCCAGGAAGCGCCCCCCCCCCCCAGAACCTACCGTGCCAGCACCAACCGGGGCGTCGGGCCTCTGCAGATGTGACACACACGCTTCTGTTGTTTCAGCCACTCAGTCTGTGGTGTCTGTTACAGCAGCGTGAACTGACTGAGAGGGGGCAGAGGCTGTCCCCTCCCCCTTGGCTGTGTGCATAGGGCAGAGGCCCGGCTGTGAGGGCGCCTGTGGGGTGCATTGGGAGGCCGCGGGGCTTCCTGCTGACAGCTGGAAACCTCTCCCCCCACACTGGGAGACAGCACGGAGGGCAGGGCCAGACTCCCCAGCCTGGGCCGTTGCTCCTGGAGTCAGCATCAGGCCACACCCATGGCCCCAGCAAAGCTTCGTCCCAGGCTCAGCCCCTGGCACCTTCTCTGCCCCTTGTTTTGAGAACCACCAGCACGTCCCCGGGGACCCGCCTGAGCAGAGCAGTTCTCTGGAGAGCCTGGCACCAGCCTGGCACCAGGGCAGGGGAGGGTGTGACCAGCTCTCCTGAGATCTGAGCAGAGATCCCGCTTTACCCCAACGAGCTGTGTGACCTCGGGCAGCCGGAGCCATCCCTGAGCCTTTGTTTCCTCATCTGTGGATCAGAACACCCGCCTCCCTCTTACTCTGTGGCCTGGGCCGTGGTCCCTGGTCTGACACCTCGGCCGTGGTCCCTGGTCCGGTCCCCGGGCTCTGGTGCTCACTAACTGTGCCGTGGGTGTGTGATTCCCTCCTGTTCCCGCACCATCGTCTCGTTCAGCAGCCTGCGCAGGGCACTCAGGGCACTCTGGGTGTTTGTAAGGTGAGCGGCCCTCAGCCTGTGCATGTGTAAAGAGTGCAGAGGGAGAGCTCATGTGTCTGAGGGCCACACTCGTTTCCACCTGTTCCCGTGTACACAGCGATGCTGGGAATCTGCAAGGAAAACGGAGCTAACGAGCATCAGTGCCTCCCTTCTTTCTCCTTTACCCAGAGAGGAGAGGCCCACGCTGTGGTTCTGGAACCCACCTCACAGGCTGATGGGGTCCCTGTTGTAGAAAGATTGGGAGCAAAAGGTGGGAGGTGGAGAGAGGCTGCTCTCTTGGGGAAGGGGAGAGTCACCGGACTGTGTGAGGGATGGAGGCCTAGAGTTCCAGGGGGACAGGTTACCGGTCCTTGGAGGGGCTGAAGCCCAGCCTAGCAACAGTCCGAGACCCAAGACTGGCACAGACGTGGCCACGTGCTCCCCTTCCCTCTCCAGGGGCCACAAGAGCCTGGGCAGCAAGCAGGCCAGCAGTGAGGGTATGGATGGCGCTCAGGGGACCCTCTGCAGATGGGCTGGGCCGTCAAACACCCCAAGCCTGGGACCTCTGTGAGAGCTTGGAAAGGGGCCCTAAGTGTGGCCGAGGCTTGGGCAGATTTTCCTGCCACCCAGAGGGGCAGGAGCTTGCAGCAGATTGCGTTTTATCTGGAGAATTAAAAGAGAGGTGACATTTCTCGAACCTGACCGTTGGATGGTAGCAAATCCGTCCCCCGCAGGAACGTACCGTAGCTTCTGTCCCCCGTGAGCTTGCTCCCCCCTCCCCGGGGCACTGAGCTCAGCCGCCCGATCGGGCCAGTGACCTCCACACGCTCGACACGGAAGCCAAGTTGGTGACCTTTTTCCTCTCCGTGGAGAGGTGAGCTCCTTGCTGAGTTGGCAGCCTGCAGAAAAGGCCAAGCAGCAGATGCCGCCTTCCCTCGGCGGGGGCTGCAGAGAGCCCCCACCCACGCAGGGACCGCGTGTGGCAGAAAGATGGATGAGCTGGGGCACCAGTCCTGAGGCGTCGCCAGCTATCGCTGAATCAGACTCCGCCGGCGTCAGCCTGGAGCCGGCCTCAGCCCCAGCAGATCCACCTCGGCCTCCCAGCAGATCCACCTCGGCCTCCCAGCAGATCCACCTCGGCCTCCCAGCAGATCCACCTCAGCCTCCCAGCATGTGGCCTCTGGCCTGTCCCACCTCTGCTTGTGGCCGCGCATTCAGGGGAAGCAACAGAAGTCCAGTCACGCATCCCATAATGACGTTTCGGCCAACAAATGTCCCACCCCGTTATCATACCACATTCTTACTGTACCATTTCTACGATATATTTAGATACAGAAATGCCTTCCGCTGTGTCACAGTTGCCTGCGGCATTCGGTACAGTAGCATGTTGTACAGGTTCGCACCCTGGGGGCCCCAGAATACACCAGCGAGCCTCGGTGTGCAGCCGGCTGCACCATCTCGGTGTGTGTCTGTGTGCTCTATGTGGTATTTGCAAAATGGTGCGATCACCTAACAGTGCCTTTTGTATTTTTTAGTAGAGACGGGGTTTCACCGTGTTAGCCAGGATGGTCTTGATCTCCTGACCTTGTGATCCGCCCGTCTTGGCTTCCCAAAGTGCTGGGATTACAGGCGTGAGCCACCGTGCCCGGCCCATAGTCTTGTTTTTAAGTAACACTAACTGTATTTATAAATTATGAGCTTAATCAACCTTGCTTAAAGCAAAGCCCCTTTACAGTTCTCATGAAGTGCCTGGGCTTGGGGTCTTTGAGGGCCCAGCACGTCAGCAGACTGTAGATTCTAGATTCTGGCTATTTCTGTGTCCAGAGAACATGATAAAATGTCTCTAGAGTGCGACCTGAATCCATGGTTGCCATGTGGATCTGAGCAAACCCTCAGACTCTGCCAAGCACCGGGTTCCTCACCTATAACGTGGGCCCGACGTTGGCGTAACTGGGGCACGAGGGTCACTAAGCAGCGCTTGGTGTAAAGGAAGCGCTTACGTTCTTAGAAGTGTTTCTCGTGATTGCGTCTTCCGACGTGTCAGGCCCGCAGGTGAGTTTTGGGTACGATTTTACGCCAATGTCTGTTTCTTTGGTGAAGCACATTGTTTCCTGCCCCATTTCCAGGTAGCACCGTGACCCGCTGTGTGAAGCCCAGATCACCTGCTGTCGTGTTTGCCTGGACCCTCCCCGGTGCTGGGCGTCTCGGTTTTATCCAGTTCTTTGCTGTCAAACACGGTGCAGCTGTGAACGTCAGCAAGCTCAGTTTCCTCACTGTGACTAACAGAACCGAACTCGGGGGAGTCGGTACCGTGGATGGGGCCATCCATTATGTCCAAAGCCAGCTAAGGATTTTTAGATGATCTGTGCCTTGGGGTGATTGATTCCTTCTGTCCTGAAGCACGAGACACTCCTTGGCAGATGCCAAGTGTCCCTTCGTTACAGTTGTCTGAGTCCCTTGGTGGAGGAGGAAGTGGCTGCCGTCTTTACAACCCCATGTCCTCTCTCTCGTAGAAAGTCTGCACCAAGTGTGGGATCGAGGCCTCCCCGGGCCAGAAGCGGCCCCTGTGGCTGTGTAAGATCTGCAGTGAGCAAAGAGAGGTAGGGCGTCCAGGCGGGGCGGGGAGGGCGTCCAGGCGGGGCGGGGAGGGCGTCCAGGCGGGGCGGGGAGGGCTGGGTGGGCGGATGTGTTCTCAGACAGGGATGGGTGGACGGTCAGGGTGGCGGTGGGCAGGGCTGGGCGGGTGGATGTGCTCTCAGACAGGGATGGGTGGACGGTCAGGGTGGCGGTGGGGAGGGCTGGGCGGGTGGATGTGCTCTCAGACGGGGATGGGTGGACGGTCAGGGTGGCGGTCGGGAGCGCTGGGCGGGTGGATGTGCTCTCAGACGGGGATGGGTGGACGGTCAGGGTGACGGTGGGGAGGGCTGGGCGGGTGGATGTGCTCTCAGACGGGGATGGGTGGACGGTCAGGGTGGCGGTGGGGAGGGCTGGGCGGGTGGATGTGCTCTCAGACGGGGATGGGTGGACGGTCAGGGTGGCAGTGGGCAGGGCTGGGCGGGGGGGATGTGCTCTCAGATGGGGATGGGTGGACGGTCAGGGTGACGGGGAAAGGGGTGAGCGGGACAGATGTGCTCTCAGATGAGGGTGGGTGGACGGTCACTGGGAGGGGTTTCTCTGGAGGTCAAGGAAGAACTGACCACCCAGGGAGAAAAGCGCGGAGGGACAGCCTGCTGGCCGGCCACCTCCCCCACGCAGGGGTGGCAGGTTCTACAGCTGGGAGGGTCCAAGGTTTCAGCGGGAAGCCCCACACTGTGAGTGTGAGAGCGTGTGGTGTTTGTGGGGGCTGGTGTTACGGGAACGGTTGTAGCTACCCCAGGGTGAACGTTGACTGTGTGCCTGGAACTGCTGTAAGTTCCTTGCATGTATGAATTCATTTCATCCGTACACAACCCCAGTGGTGCGATTCTTATCCCCTTTTCCTGATGGGGAAATAAAGACGCAAGAGGTTAAATAACCCGTGAGCACCGAGCCAGTTCATCGGGAGCCGGAAACCAGACTCAGCGGTCGTCACGATGCCGCCCGAAGCCCCGTCTGCTTCTACGGTTCACGGTTCTAGTTCCAGCTCCATTTGAGGGAAGGAAGTCGAGGCTCAGCGAGGACTCTGGGGAGTGGCAGATGGGCAGGGATGGTCAGAATCTCCCTGTGCCAGGTTGGAATGGAGCCAACACGGCAGGACGTGGCAGGTGGCTCGTGGGAAGTGTCCTGGGGGGCAGGGCGGGGACAGCATGTGAGGGGCGAGGAGGCTGCAGCTGGTCTTCCAGATGGGGATTCATTACGTTTTAAATCTCGCTTGTCACTTCATATGTACTTTTCATCTGAGGGTCCACAAAACACCTTCAGTTCTGGAAATTTCTCAGCCGTGATGTCTTTGAATATGGCTCCTCTGCCATTCCTTCTCTCCTCTCTGGAAGTCCTGCTGGATACATTTTAGAGCCCCTCAACCATCCCCCACGGCTCTTTCTTGTTTATTTCTTTATCTTTCTGCGATACTTTCCGGTGAGTTCCTCGGTACCGCCTTCCAAGTCGCTAAGTCTTTCCTCGAGATCACCTCCCCCTTGGTGTCTTTCTTAGGGTTAGTTTTCCTCGGGTGTTTTGGAATTTTGGTTTGCGCACTCATCTTGTGTGATAATGGTCCCTTTCTCTCTCTTTCCCACCCAGCTCTTCTAGCTGGATAGCTTTGCAGCTGCTCCCACCTGGGTCCGGTGCTGAGCCAGGCGTCCTGGGTTTGTGGCGAGCTGCTTATCCATGGTGATACCGGGATTATTCCCAGAGCCTCATCCCAGCCGCGACAGCTTGGTCTGGCCCTGCTGCTGTCGGCTTGCTTGCCTCGGAGCTCATTTCCTTGTATACGCTGTAGTCCCGGGGCAGGACCCTGCTGATTTCAGCCTCCTTTCCCAGGTGGAAAATCCCCTCGCCAGCCTGATTTTAGCGACTCTGCTCTCGTCCCCCCCTCCCAAGGGACACTTTTAGTCCCTGCACCCTGGAAGACCCATCTCCCAGCTGCCTGTGTCTGCTTCTGAGCCCAGAGCTCAGCAGGCTGTGCCTTCACCCCTCAAAATGGTAAATACTTTGAATTTCTGATCCATGGAGATACAGATCTTTTTTGCGCACATTTACTTGCTGCTGCTGTTGTGAAACTATATTCCTCTATTATTGCTGTGTCTTTGGAGCAGGAAAAGCTGCAGGCAGGGCCTCACAGGGTGTGCTGTCGTTCTGTCTTGCTGGAAGTCCCTGAGTCCTCATCCCCAGATGGAGTTAATAATGCCCGCTCTGCAGAGCTGCTGTGAGAATTCAGTCAGATTGTCCAGCGGGCGAAACCTCCAGCTTAGCGTGGATATTCCACAACTATTAGAGGCCTCCCTTCCTCCTCGGCCAGAAATCTCCCCTTTGAACTTGAGGTCCTTCTAATCTTCGGGAGACCCCTTTGACGGTGCATGTGGTCCATGGAAGAAGAAATTCCTAAAACATCATCTTGTGGGATGAAATGATGGTCACAGGGAGCCACTTCGTGGGATGAAATGATGGTCACGGCTGAGCTGCGGGAGGGCAGAAGTGAAGGATCTTTGAAGGAAAAGAAGGTGAATGGAAGGAAAGACAAATTTCGCAAATTTAATAATTTAGTCGAGGGCTGCCCGTCCCCCTCATGAGTCACCCTCACACTCCATAACAGTCCTGAGCTACCACCAGCCTGTCCTAATCTCCAGAGCGCTCCAGTGCCCAGAAAAGTCCGAAATAGCTTAGGATGAATTTTCTTATCTTTCCTAAGGCAGAGAATACGAGGCTGTGTGTTGCCCTATCACTTTGTCCTTGAATTTTTAGAAGCTGATAAAACTCAGCCTCTAGAAGATCAAGGGTGGTGCACAGTTAGCGGGAACGGATGGGGCCGGGAGCATGTTCGTGGTATATGAGCCTGGGTACCTGTGGGTACCAGACACACGTGCTGGATTTTTCTGTCTGCTTTTGGGGTGTGGGAAGGCCGGCGTCATTGGTTTCCTAACGCCCTTTCTTCTTAGAAGAATGTCTAATCATAATGAAGAGATAACGAACTAGAAAGGCCATTTAAAATGTCAGATTTTAAACTGGTTCTGAGTCTGATAAAAACGTGGAGTTCTGTCTCCGCGCAAAAGCCAAATCCTAATGGAGGAACTTGGGTTTTCTGATGGAAACTCTTGGAGCACTCTGCCCAAGGCCTCTTATCTTCCTGTCCTTTCGTGCTTCACTTCTGTCATCTCTGGCCAGAGTGGTACGTACTTTTTCTGGAGTGAGTTGAGTGCTGGTGAGATGTTCCGGGGGCCGTCAGGGTGGGGTTGCTCCCTGTGTTACCAGGCGGGAATCTGAGCCCGGGCCCCTCTGCTTTGGGAGCTTTGGGAGCCTTGTGGGCTTGGGGTTATTCCCAGAGCCTCACCCCAGCCACAACAGCTTGGCCCGGCCCTGCTGCTGCCGGCTTGCCTGCCTCTGAGCTCATTTCCTCGTATATGCTGTAGACCCAGGGCAGGACCCTGCTGATTTCAGCCTCCTTTCCCAGGTGGAAAATCCCCTCGCCAGCCTGATTTTAGTGACTCTGCTCTGGTCCCCCACCTCCCAAGGGACACTTGTAGTCCCTGCACCCTGGAAGACCCATCTCCCAGCTGCCTGTGTCTGCTTCTGACAGACAGAGAATAAATGCATTTATTCACACAGGCAGCTGACACGTTTATTGAGCATCTCCTATGTGCCAGGCAAAACAGTTCTTCCAGTGGGAGAGGGAGACCACAAACCCCATAAATTCTGCAGAGTCACAGACGGGGGTCAAGGCCTTGGGGCAAAGGGGAGAAGAGGTGCTGGGGACACTGGCGTGGCTGCTGGCTTACATGGGGACCAGGGAGGGGCCCACTGACAAAATGACGTTTGAGCAGAGATCTGAAGCATCTTCTGTGGCTATGTGGAGGGGAAGCATTCCAAGTAGGGGTGCAACGGGTGCAAGGGCCCCGAGGCAGACGTGTGTGCTCGGCAGATTGGAGGCGCAGCGCGGAGACCAGCGTGGCTGGAGTTAGGTTGGGGCTAGGGAGGGGTCGTCAGATGTATTAGTCTGTTCTCTCGCTGCTGATAAAGACGTACCTGAGACTGGGTAATTATAAAGGGAGATTTGATGGACTCACAGTTCCACATGCCCGGGGAGGCCTCCCAACCATGGCGGAAGGCAGAAGGCACATTTTACACGGCGGCAGACAAAGAAACAATGAGACCAAGTGAAAGGAGTTTCTTCTTATAAAAACATCAGATCTCGTGACAGTCACTACCACGAGAATGGTCTGCGGGAAACCGCCCCCTCAGTTCAGTTACCTCCCACTCGGTCGCTCCCACAGCACGTGGGAATTATGGGAGCTACAGTTCATGATGAGATTTGGGTGGGGACACAGCCAGACCATATCGTCAGAGACATGATAGGGTGGGTCAGATCGTGTCAGTGCTTAGAGACCTTTGTAAGGACTTTGGGTTTTGAAAGTTGTTTGTTTACTTTGTTTTTCTGAGACAGGATCTCACTGGGTCACCCAGGCTGTAGGGCAGTGCCACAATCTCAGCTTACTGCACCCTCTGCCTTCAGGGCTCAGACAACCCTCCCACCTCAGCCTCCCAAATAGCTGGGACTGCAGGCTGTACCACCACGTCCAGCTAATTTTTTGTATTTTTGTAGAGACAGGGTTTTGCCATGTTTCCCAGGCTGGTCTCAAACTCCTGAGCTCAGGCAATCTGCCTGCCCCAGTCTCCCGAAGTGCTGGGATTTCAGGCGTGAGCCACTGCACCTGGCCAAGACTTTGGTTTTACACTCAGGAGAATGAGGTGCCCTTGGAGGGTCTTGAGGAAAGCGGAGACAGAATCCCATCTCCCCCCTCTTTTAAAGGGTGCTCTGGCTGCTTTGTTGAGAATAAATTGCAGACTATCTCAAAGCCAGTAGCACAGTATTTATTTTTCTTATTTAATATCGCCCAGATACATAAGTTCTTGTCTGTTATAATCTTTGGAAGTTTTCATTTTTTTAACATATATTCTATACATGTTA